ATCCTTCCCCTGTGCTGGGCACTGGTGAGGCCGCACCTCGAATCCTGTGTTGTTTTGTGCCCCCCACTCCAAGAAGGACATTGAGGGGCTGGAGCGTGTCCAGAGAAGGGCAATGGAGCTGGGGAGGGGTCTGGAGCACAAGAATTGTGGGGAGCGGCTGAGGGAACTGGGGTTGTTTAGTTTGGAGGAGGCTGAGGGGAGACCTTATCACTCTCTGCAGCTCCATGAAAGGAGGGGGTAGTGTAGGGGGGGTCAGTCTCTTCTCCCTATAAATGAGTGATAAAGACAAGGGGCAATGGCCTCAAGTTGCACCAGGGGAGGGTTAGATTGGATATCAGGAGGAATTTCTTTACTGAAAGGGTTGTTAAGCACTAGAAGGGGCTGCCCAGGGAGGTGGTGGGGGCACCGTCCCTGGAGGTGTTTAAAAGACAAGGAGATGTAGTCCTTAGGTACATGGTCTAGTGGTGGACTTAGGGCTGGTTCGATGGTTGGACTCAATGACCTTAAAGGTCTTTTCCAACCGAAACCACTCTGTGATTCTCTGTTCCCCTGGGCCTATGGGAGGCAGGAGCTGCTCTGGAACTTGGTCAGAAGATGGAAGGACTATAAACATGTGTATTAGTGAAGCCTGGCCTGGGTGCTGAAAATATGAATCTTCTGGCCTTATTTAATAATTTTAAGTAATTATAGTGGTAATGAGTTGGTTGGGTTTTTTTTTCTACCTTTCTCTTCTGGGACAGAGTTAATGCAAACAGGTTTGATGTGCCTGCTATCCTGGAAGCAGCATGGCTGTTTTTACACCACAGAAATATTTCATAGACTGTGTGTTGGGGTTTGGAGTTTTAAAGAAACAGCTATCGAAGGAACTGTGCTTTTTTCTTCATGTTGCCCACTTCTGCAGTAAATAGCAAACCAGACCAGGAAAGCTTGATGTGTTGGTCTGGGTCACACAGCCTGGCATTGGAGGTGGCACCAGCATCAGCTGTGTGTGCAGGATGAGGACTGAGCTGTCCCTCCCTGTGCTTACCTCTCCTCTGGTGCCCACGGCCACGGAGCATCCCGGCTCGTCTCCTTCTCCACCATCTCGGCCTGCAGCTCAAACTTGTGTGCCAGTTCCTGCAAGCTGGAGTCCAGGTCTGTGAACTGAGCCTCCAAGGTTTGCAGCTTGGTTTCTACTCTGAGGGATGGAAAACAAGGGCATTTCAGAAGGATCTGGGGATTTCAGAAGGATTTGGGCATTGACCCGTGGTGCTTTCTGCCGTGATGGTGGGTGACACACACACTGAGCTGTGAACAGCTCCAGACCCCATTCTGAGGCTCTTCCCAAGCCATGTGAGAACACACATCACTAGAAATCAAGTATTTTTAACATGGCCCAGGTATTTTTGGCCCTTCCCTGGTTCAGAGGTCTTTTAACTTGTAAATGTAGATGCAAGATTTGTGCTTCAGTATGTCTGCAGGTCTCAACCATTTACATTATTGTTAGTGGCGCAGGTTTTTTGAAGTAATTTGTGGTGTCGTGATCTTTTGAACCATTTTCATTTGACAGTGAACAGAACTTGTCATTCCTCCTCAGATTAAAAAAGATACAAATAATAAACAAGGCATCCCGCAGTGTTTATCTTCTCCCATCAGCTCACCCTGCTCCAATTTTCCCTTTTTTAGGACTGTCTTTCCATGGAACAACGGTATGATAAGAGGACCTTAGAGCAACAGCAGCAAGAAAACTGCTTTACAGCTGGTATTTACTAGCTGCTTTTGCATTACTTAGTATCTGTTGTGTTTCTCCTTAAAAAAAATAGGTGCATATTTATACTCTTTTAAATTACAGTCCTAAAGATGGGGTTTTGAGTTTGAGCTACTCCGCTCCACTTCCATTTAAGAAAACTGCCCAGCTTAAAAGAACTTAGTGAGTTTGGGCATGAAGAATGAGGGAATGCAAGTTTTATGTTTTGCACCCATTTGCTGCTCTCTGCTCAAGGAGTAGGGTACACTGGGCTTCCCCCAAGGGTGGTTTTCATAAAGGCAATTTTCTTTACATTTTCCTCAGCTAGCAGATTTATGTCGAGAAGTATTCCTGAGAATCCTGAGGGTCTCAAAGCTACCCACATAGGAAAGCTCCTTCCTAAATGCGGAACAAATACCTTGGTACTATGCACCCGACAAGTGATTTACTAGCAGAACATCAGCTACTCCTTACAGACTTCTGTGATTTTTCTTTGCAATTTACTGGCTGTATCAGTTAACTGAAAACCATGCACCCATTAAATTTTGTTCTGGACAAGACCCTACATTTTTTTTCTTTAGCTTCTGATTCTTCATCCCCAGTTTCATCTGCTGCTTCTGTTACTGTTATTATTGTATTGTTTTAATGTTTAGGGAATTGGATTCTGAATTATGACCTTCCTATGTTAGACACCATAAGGTGTTTACCTTGGTACAAGGTCTTACCAAGGCCTTACCAAGGTCTTTACCTTGTTATGGTCCTGTTTTGTTTATCTTTGCCCAAACTTTGTTATAAGGACAAGATACACAGTAGCTTTCAGGTGATGACATTAAAAAAACCAAACCAAACCAAACCAAAAAACCCAAAACAAACCACAAACCCCCTTCTCAAAACAAACAGGAGTTAACTTTTGATTGTATAAACAGCAGATTAAATAATTTATCAATAGTTTTCCCTTCTTTCACGCATACTCCCTGGTATTTTAAAGCTTGTCCTTTTAGGCGCAGGACCAAGAATGCCATTTCTTCGCTAACAGTAGCTGCTCCCTCTACCTGCCTTCTTCTTCTCCCACTTTGTGTACTGTCTGCAGTTGACCTGACCGAGGAGAAAACAAAAAGGCATCAACAGTGACATATTTTTCTAAGTTTCCCTGCCCTTAATTCACTATGAGTCTAGCAGATCCTTGTGTGACAATTTTCTGCTGCTTCCTGAGACTTGGAGACTTCCTTTGCCTTCTTGTGAAAGCTGCTTACACCCTGCTCTCTCTTGGTAGGCCTGCTCTTGCTTCAGCAAGGCTTTTATTTCTCAAAGCCTCCTGTCTCCTGCTGCATCACAGCAGAAGTTTTGAAACCAGGCATAGTCGTTACTGGCTGTTGGATTTTGCCTAATTATTGTCCCTCATGTTGCACTAATTCTGTGGTGGGGTTCACTCATTCAGACGTATTTATGTGTGCATGCTTGCCATGAGAATCTGAGGACTGAAATAGAACTTTAATTGGGAAATTGAGCTTGTGTTGTGTAGAAATGCAGAT